GAGAAGCCCTTTGAGGTTGAGCTGGGTGCCTCAGAAGCCAGAGTAGGAGCCATTCTCATCCAGAGAGATCCAGTAACCGGTCGCCGACATCCTTGTGCCTACTTTTCAAAAAAACTTACCTCTGCAGAAGGCATGTATCGGTCCAAGGCTATTTCTAATCAAAATTTGCTCAACATGTACATGTACTATTTCAAGAAAATGTACTTTGAAATTCACTATTTTTTTTTTAAGCCAAGTTTAACAGGGCTTAACTCAGCATTTTCCCATAATGCATCAACAAATAGGCAAATCAGTGGGATTCTGGAGATGTTCAAAATATACCTTCCATTACCTGACTATATCCCCATTTGAGGCAACAGTTCTCCATTCCTGCTGTAAACAGCATGGGTGAGGCCTTGCTTCCCCCTCCTGAGTCGCCAGATGGTTTGCCAGAATCTTTTCAAGGCTAACCAAAAGTCCTTCTCCATAGCCTCTCTAAACTCCTCCCAACCCAAGTTTTTGCTTCAGCAACTGCCAAAGCTACTTTCCACTTTGCCTGCCAGTACCTATCAGCTGCTTTAGGAGTCCCACAAGCTAAGGCCTCCTTCTTCAGCTTGATAGCTCTCTTTACTGCCAATGTCCACCACCAGGTTCAGGGATTGCCACCGACAACCTTTCGGCCTCAACTCTGCACTGCTATCTCAGCAATGGAGTCCTGGAACATGGCCCATTCGGGCTCAATGTCCCCTGACTCCCTTGGGATGCAAGAGAAGTTCTACTTGAGGTGTGAGTTGAAGATCTCCTGGAAAGGGGACTCCACCAGACATTCCCAGCAAGCCCTCACTATGCGTTTGGGTCTACCAGGTCTATCCGGCATCTTCTCCCATCATTGGTTCCAGCTCACCACCCGACGGTGATCAGTTGACAGCTCAGCTCCTCTCTTCACTCGAGGGTCCAAAACATCCTGCCACAGATCCGACGACATGAAAACAAAATTTTACTCTAACATTTTCAAAAAATACACTTTAAAATCCATGTTATTTTGTGTTTGATTTGACAGGGCATTTCTCAGAATTTCCCCATAATATATAAACAAGTCCTATACCTTCTGAAATGCAAGGTTCCAATCTATTTCCAGAGAAAATTTGTTTGACTTTTACAATGCCATGGCACTGTCGATTTCAGGTATTATCAATCCCTTGCCAAGTTTTTGAAGAGAGTTACCCCTGGAGCTTTCCTTTGTTCCAATATGGATTCCGTGCCATCCAGATGACAAATGCATTATAAGTGGAGACGTCCAAGATGTTGAACAATAGAACAAGTAGCCAGCATATAGGGGTTTTTTTAGCAGTTGTTACAACTCAGCAAGGAATTGATAAGACCTCAAATCCAGAGGAGAAAATGTTTTGAGGGTGTGGGACGAAAGACACGGTCCAGAATCAGGGCAAAGCAAGATGGATTTATTCCACTCACAACAAAGGGATCTCTGGGGAGCTCAACACTGGGATCAACAACAGGACTAACAACATAAGGCCCAATCCCAATTCTATTTTCTACCCCTTTGCTTACCCCTCGCCCCTTCCTCTTGCCCCTTGAAATGAAGTGGAAAGGGGTAGGGTTAAAAAATTTCCCCTAAGAAATGGGACACCACTACTACACTGTTATACGTCATTGTCACTACCTCCTAACGTTAAGTCAGAGGACATGCGCCGATGTTTATCACAAATTACTCACTCCCAAAGTTTTTTTGCGCCGTATTTGGACTTTAAAAACAGATGTTCTTTGGGTTTCCTCAGCTG